GGATTCTTGATTCTGGATGTTCTTATCACATCACGCCAAATAGGGAATGGTTTTCGACATACAGGCCGGTTAATTCTGGTTCGGTTTATTTGGGTGATGATCGATGTTGCAATATTGTTGGTATTGGTGATGTCAGAATTAAGATGCACGATGGCTCCGTTCGGACGTTGAGTGGTGTTCGACATATCCCAGACTTGAAGAAGAATTTGATTTCCTTGGGCACTTTGCACAAGAATGGTTTTATCCCTAAGGCTGACGAGGATAGGGAAACCATTCGGATTGTTAAAGGAGCATTGACTGTGATGAAAGGCAAGATGACTGCAGGGAATATCTACAGATTGTTAGGGAGTACCGTTGCAGGTGGAGTTCACTCTGTTGAGTCCTGTGATGATACGACAAAATTGTGGCATATGCGCCTTGCTCATCTTAGTGAACGTGGTATGGCAGAATTACACAAGAGAAACTTGTTGCATGGTGTCAAAGCTGTAAGCTCGACTTTTGCAAGTATTGTGTTCTTGGTAAACAGACTAAAGTCCGTTTCAAGACTGCGAAGCACACAACTCAAGGGATTCTTGATTATGTGCATTCTGATGTATGGGGGCCTTCTACGACATCGTCTTTGGGTGGATCTAGGTACTATGTTACTTTTATTGATGATTTTTCACGGAAAGTTTGGGTGTATTTTTTGAAACAGAAATCTGAAGTTTTTGAGAAGTTCAAGCTGTGGAAAGCTGAGGTAGAAAACCAAACAGGACGAAAAATCAAGTGTTTGCGATCTGACAATGGTACGGAGTACACAGATTCACAGTTCCTACAATTCTGTAAGGAGCATGGGATTCAGAGGCATTTTACAGTGCGCAAGACACCACAACAGAATGGTGTTGCGGAACGAATGAACAGGTCGTTGAATGAAAGAGCCAGATGTTTGCGGTTGAATGCGGGACTTCCCAAACACTTCTGGGCTGAGGCTGTTAACATGGCGTGTTACCTTATCAACAGATCGCCAAGGGCATCGCTGGCTGGGAAAGTTGCAGAAGAGGTATGGACTGGTCATGATGTTAGTTTTGATAACTTACAGATTTTTGGTTGTCCTGCTTATGTGCATGTACCTGCTGATGAGAGATCCAAACTTGATGCAAAATCGAAGGAGTGCGTTTTTCTGGGATACAAGAAAGGTGTCAAAGGATTCAAGTTCTGGGATCCAGTTGCGAAGAAAGTTGTGATTAGTAGAGATGTCGTTTTTGATGAACAATCCATGTTGCAGCAGAAGCAAGACACGACAGTGGTGGATTTCGAGTAGTTTCCAGTTGAGAAACCAGAAACTTCTCAACCGACTTCTGGTGGTTCCACTACGGATGATTTGCAGGATTATAGTCTCGCCAGAGACAGGGTGAGACGGACGAATATAAAGCCTCCGAATAGATTGGGTTTTGAAGACTTGGTATCTTTTGCACTTATTGTTAGCAGTGATGATCCGGTTACTTTTCATGATGCCGTTACTAGTCAGGAAAATGACAAGTGGATGGCAGCCATGGTTGAGGAGATGGAGTCTTTGAATCACAATCGCACATGGGAGTTAGTTCCCCTTCCTGAGGGTAAGAAGCCGATTGGTTGCAAATGGGTGTATAAGAAGAAACCAGCAGTAACAGAAAAAGAGGGGGAGAAGTTCAAGGCTCGTTTGGTAGCGAAGGGTTTTTCACAGCAGAAAGGAGTTGATTATGATGAAATCTTTTCTCCTGTGGTCAGGCACACTTCAATCCGAGTAGTACTTGCATTGGTGGCTAGTTGGGATTTGCATTTACAGCAGATGGATGTTAAAACTGATTTTTTGCATGGTGATTTAGAGGAGCAGATCTACATGCGGCAACCTGAAGGTTTCACTCAACCTGGAAACGAGCATTTAGTTTGCAGATTGAAGAAATCTTTGTACGGGTTGAAACAGTCTCCGAGACAGTGGTATAACGGTTTGACTCCTATATGATCAAGATTGGCTACAACCGATGTGAGTATGATTGTTGTGTCTATGTTAAGAGCCTTGATGATGGTTCTTTTATTTTTCTATTACTGTATGTTGATGATATGTTGATTGCTGCGAAGAACATGGATGATGTTATCGGTTTGAAAACTTTATTGAGTCAGGAATTTGATATGAAAGATTTAGGTGCTGCAAAGAAAATTCTTGGAATGGAATTTGCAGGGACAGAGACTCAAGGAAACTGCGGCTATCTCAACGGGGTTATGTTGAGAAAATGCTAGAAAGGTTTGCGATGAGCAGCGCGAAACCAGTTAGCACTCCATTGGCGAATCACTTTAAGCTCTCATCAGAACAGTGCCCCAAGACAGATAAGGAAGCTGAAGATATGGCAAAGGTTCCGTATTCTAATGCTGTTGGCTGCTTGATGTATGCGATGGTATGTACTCGTCCTGATTTAGCTCATGCTGTTAGTCAAGTTTGTAAGTACATGTCTAAACCTGGTAAGCAACATTGGGAAGCAGTCAAGTGGATCTTTCGGTACTTAAGGGTACTGTGGGACATGGAATTGTTTTTGGGAGTCAGCGGGATAATCCTTTGGTTGTAGGATATGTGGATTCAGACTATGCAGGTGACTTGGATAATAGAAGATCTACGACAGGGTATGTCTTTACTCTTGGTGGAGGGCCTATTTGTTGGAAGTCTACTGTTCAATCTATTGTGGCTCTATCTACAACTGAAGCTGAGTACATGGCAGCGGCTGAAGCTGCAAAAGAAGCTTTATGGCTTACTGGTTTAGTGAAGGAGTTGGGTGTTCAACAAGGTGGAGTTCAGTTGCTTTGTGATAATCAAAGTGCTATTCACTTGGCTAAGAATCAGGTGTATCGTGCTAGAACTAAACATATTGATGTAAGGTTCCACAAGATCAGAGAGTTGGTTGCATCTGGAGAGGTTTTGTTTCAGAAGGTACATACTGATGAGAATGCCGCTGATATGTTCACTAAGCCAGTTACGACAGACAAGTTCAAGCATTGCTTGGACTTGTTGAATGTTTCGAGTTGTTAAAGAATCAAGGTAACCCAACCCACATTGAATTTTCCAAGAGGCAGGATATTCGCCAAGGTGGAGATTTGTTAGGTATGGCTCATAAATATACCAGTAAAGAGGACAGGAGATGTAACCTAGACCTAAAATATATCATTGAATAAAAAAACTTCTAGCGCCGCCTAGGCACCGAGGACGTAAGCACATTGCCGAACCTCGTAAAATTCTCGTGTTCTTTTGTTTTCTTTACCCGTTTTCGTCAACATTCCTGACTCGGTGGTGGCTCGTATTATGAGCATTAAACCGCCTTCCATCCAAGTTGGCACTGATTTTACCATTTGGAGATGGGGTCCGAAACATGTTTTTACTGTCCAGGCCGCGTATAAGATGCTCGTGCAGGATTTATAGCTGCCACGATATCCCAAATGGACATTGGTTTGGCGGCTTCACGTGCCGCAGCGTATTCGGCTGTTCCTCTAGTCTCTCATTCATCAAAGGTTCATGACCAACACCGAACAGTGTCGACGAGATCTTTCTAACGACCCTTTTGTGCGCTCTTTGCAGTACCCACCTGGAAACTTTGCTCCATGTTTTTCGTGACTGCCCAAACGTTCATAAACTTTGGCTCCTTCTTTTTGGGAATAATCTACCTCCAAACTTCTTTGATCGCAATTTGGAGGAATGGACGCTGCTCAATCTTCGCATTGATCAGCCTTGGCTACATTCTTGAATTTCATGGAATATCCTTTTCTCTACCATCATTTGGCATATTTGGAAAAGGCGAAATGACTTTGTTTTCGCCCACCATTGTAGACCGATTGCTGAGACCGTTGTACTAGTTTGGCTGTTGCTCAGCACTACTTCGATTGCCCTGCGCCCCAAAACCATAATCCGGTTCGAACGCCTCATCTACTGCAATGGCAAAGACCTCCTGCTGGCGTCTTCTGCTTAAATACTGCTGGGTCGCTGGATACCCGAACCAACTCGGGGACTGCTGGAGGTATTATTCGAGATAGCACTGGCGCTTGGATTCTGGGATTCAACAAATTCCTTGGTTACACAGACATTCTTCACGCTGAATTATGGAGTATCCTTATTGGTCTCCGGTTGGCTTGGACCCGAGGTATCGGAAGTCTTGTTGTTCAATCGGACTCTTTGCAAGTTATCAAGTCCGTCACCGCTGATGATGCGTTCATCAACCCTCTGTCTATCGTTCGTGATATTTCAAGAATGCGCTTTGCTGGTTGGAATCTATATTTCTACTGGGTCCCTCAAGAAGCTAATGCTGCCGCTGATGCTATAGCCAAATTGGCTGATAGCTCTTCCTTTTTAATAAAAGACTTATGAAGATCCCCCCTTGGTTATTTCTTCTTTACTTGCTCGGGACAATTATGGCCCACCCTATGTGCGTTTAGCTTTGTAATACTTTTGTTCTCTCTTTCAATTAAAAAAAATAAAAATAAAAAATTACATTTCAAGAATAAATACATTAATTACAATTAATAAGATATTAGGCAATTATATTAAAATTTATATAAAAAGTTAATTTAATAGGAGTCCAAAATAATTAAATTAATTTAAACTTAAAATAATTAAAACCCAAATTAAATTTATAATAACAATTCAAATTATATATAATTTTAAATTAATAAGATATTAGGCAATTATATTAAAATTTATATAGAAAAAGTTAATTTAATCGGAATCCAAAATAATCTGAATTTAAAAAATTAATAATTAAACTAATTTAAACTTAAAATAATTAAAACCCAAATTAAATTAATAATAATAATCCAAATCATATATAATTTAAACAATTTAGAACCTAAATTAATCCGATTCAAAGCATACCGAAACAACAGTCGCATTGGAAAACGGAAGCATATAAACGACGCGTTTTGCAAACTTGAAGAAGGTATGGGCCATGGCCGCGATTAGTTTCCAACTGGGGCCGCTTCTAAACGCAATTCGGACATTACAACGAAAGCCTGGTCCTCGCGAAAAAAAAAATAACTCCGCGACGTTTCTCATGGCGGTTGTAGGCGTTGAATAATCGAACACTCTCCCCGCTACAATTCTAGGGCTTGTTCCATTTCTCCGCCCAAAATATTCGTAAACCTGCAAGCATCGAAAATGGTCGGTACGTCAAATTTCCACTGAAATTTCATTTAAACTGATTCATGGTTTCCACTATTGATCAGCTATTATATTGTACCTTTCCTTTTTTTGATTTCTTTGTGATGGCTTGTTTAGGGCCGCAATCCGAGAGAGAAGATAAAGTATCATTGGAACTCACCGAGGAAATCATTCAAAGCATGGAAATCGGCATGGTTTTTAAAGATTATGTAAATTCCACCTCTTAATTTATTCTTTTATTTCGATTATGTAATAAATTACAATGGATAGCTTCAGAATAATGAAAATTTATTTAAAATTACTGTTAACAGAGCGGTAGAATCAGTTCAATGGATTTTCACAGAACGTCGAATTATTTAGTAACTGCTAGTGAAGATGAATCCATCCGCCTTTATGATGTTTCCAGCGCCACGTAAGCCAATTTTAATTTTTTTAGTTGATTATTTTTCTTGCTTGATCAATTTGAAAATGGAAGTTCTTTGGCTGAGTTTTTTTTCTCACAATCCTAACCCTTAAAACCTAAACTAATTTTACTTTTATTGCTTTTTGCAGGTGTTTGAAAACAATTAATAGCAAAAAGTATGGGGTTGATCGAGTTTGCTTTACTTCACATCCAACGACAGTTATTTACTCTTCAAAGAATGGTTGGGATGGTGAGTTACTGCTGCAACTATCTGTATGTGTTTTTTATTGGTGTTATTATTAAGCGGTGGAGTTTCGTTGTTACAGAATCATTGCGTCTTCTCTCATTGCACGATAACAAGTACTTGCGGTATTTTAAAGGTCACCATGACAGGTTTGGTTTCTGATACCCAATTAAGTGCTTGAACCAAAAAACTCTGTAAGACTTGATTTATTGACATCTGTTGCTGTTTATATTTAGAGTTGTTTCGCTTAGCCTATGCTCACGCAATGAAAGTTTCATCTCTGGTTCTCTTGATAGAACTGTGCTGCTTTGGGATCAACGAGCAGAGAAATGTCAGGTGAGTTGTATGTTTAGATTGATATTTACATATGCGGTTTGTTCTTCCAAATATTCTAATTTATCCTATGTACACTAGGGCCTTTTACGCGTGCAAGGAAGGCCTGCCATATCTTATGATGACCAAGGGATAGTCTTTGCTATTGCCTTTGGAGGATACATCAGAATGTTCGATGCTCGCAAGTATGAAAAGGTTCATAACTCATATAAGTTTAATTTAGGGGTTTAGCTGTTCACTCTTTTTTTTCTCTGGGAAAAAAGGCATGTAGTGAATTGGAAACTTTGAATTTGTTTAGGGTCCTTTTGAAATCTTTTCTGTTGGGGGAGATGTATCCGATGCTAATGTTGTAAAGTTCAGCAACGATGGACGGCTCATGCTTTTGACAACTATGGATGGACATATTCATGTGCTTGATTCATTTCGTGGCACGCTTGTGAGTTAATCATACACTTAAAAGGCGCTCATTTTAAATTTTAAATTAATTAATCAAGATTATACTAAGTGGTACATTCACTCAGTGATTCTTTTTCTGTTATTGTTGTTTTTAGTTATCCACATACAATGTGAAGCCAGTTCCTAATAATTGCACGTTAGAGGCATCTTTTAGCCCTGAGGGAATGTTTGTTATATCAGGTATTCTATATCCAAATATTCTACAGTTTATTTTTTGGAAGTACAATATTTCACCAGATATAGCAGCTTAAACTTAAATTATTCTATGATCTTCTGTGTCATAGTTGTTCTATTTGTTGCATGTTTTGAAGTTTGGGGGAGAACTGTTGGTGATTCTCTCAAGTCTGAAAGTATCTAATTTGCTTAGTTTATGACTTGCAGGTTCAGGCGATGGTCGTGCATATGCCTGGAGTGTAAGGAGTGGAAAAGAAGTATGATTCCTCTTCTCTCTAGTCAATATCTCTCTATATCTTTCTACTCAAATTATTTACTTAACCTGATAATACCAGTCTAGTTGTTGCTTGTGAAATGTGAGCATACTTCATTGCTGCTCAGGTTGTTCTTTAGATTTCTGTTCCTTTGAAAGATTATACCAATATTTAATAGTGTTCAAACAATTTTCTATGGCACCCAGTAAGTATAAGACATGTAATTTTTTCCGCGTTTTTTGATCTGAAAATTCATTAATCCTAAACCTTCCCTGAAAAGAGATGATATCCAAGGCACTCTAATGAATTGGAGATGTTGAATGTTGTTGACCCCTCATGTGATACAATGACTTACTGCTCGATTTCTATTCATTAATAGTTGTCAACTTGCAATTTCATATATTGTTTTCTTTTATATTTGAGTTTTTTCTTCCCTTTTAAATTATTCCCCCCTTTCATCATTTAAACTTGTTTACATGGAAATCTTGATAGCTGTTCCTTGCACTCTTCAGGTTGCAAATTGGATGATGAATAGTGAACCTTCTGTAATAAATTGGAATTGGATGAGCACTGACACTGAGCCTCCGTGCATTAAATGGGCACCTGGGAATCTTATGTTTGTAACCGGATCTACCGAGCTCTCATTTTGGATTCCAGATCTATCTAAATTGGCAGCATATGTTGGAAGGAAGTAAGACTCATTTTTGCTCTTATAATCTATAGTCTTATTCGTAGCCACATCGAATTTGCTGATAGAGGATTCGGCACACATCTTCCTATCTCTGTTGCTTCGGTCTCTTGCGTATCATTTAACTGTTACCATTTGTCTAGAACTGGATTGTAGATGCTCCAGCGCCAACTTTACTGCTCTGGAAAAATATAAGAATGAGAGCTAGCTTACAATTTAGGTATATGTAGTTCCAACTTTCTATGTTCTTTACTCCGTAGTATTATGATTGCACAGTTCCTTGTTATGTTGTAAACTTGTAATTTTGAATATGTATGGTTGTTCGACTCTCGAGAGGTACATAAATTTGGGTTATTTACAGATGGTTGAATGTTGTGAAAAAAAAAAGTGAGTCCGGTTTTAGGTTTCTAATGGTAATTGAGATAATGTCAAATGGTTTGCATTTCTCTTCATATTTTATTCTACAATACTCAAATCATAACCATTAAACTTCTAAAGTGGAAGTTAGTGTTTTTAAATGTATTTGAATCCACGACGACCAGGATGTTGATTCAACTGAGTTGTATCTTTTTTTAAATAAATAAATATAGATTTTGATACTAGAATTTGACTTATTGGTTTAATTTGATATTTATGGGTTTTCTTTTGTTTAATTAGATACTTGAATTTGGATTTTGTTATACAAATTATAATTTTGAGTTTGAACTTCAAATTGATTAAAAGAATCATTATTATGAATTTAAAATTTTTAAAAATAAAGTTCATGTAAATTAAATAAATCAACTTTAATTTGAGTTTGAGTATCTAAGCAAACTGAAAGTTTAAATGCTAAAAATGCACATTTTCCTCGAAAAAAAGCCTCAAAACTAAGGTTGATGACTTGACAGGAAGTGATAGGGTGTAAACAGAGAGGAGATGGGATATACCATTCACCCCACATAAAATATAAAAGGATAAGCATATGCATACTTCAGAAGTGAAAATGGATAGCAGTATTCTCCAATCCCTCGCTTCAAAATCACCCCTACCAATCAACCCTCTTCTTCCGAAACCCTCGTCTTCGCCAACATGTAATTACCTACCTTTTCCTCGCCGCCGCCGACGGTTGCCCAAAGTTTATTGTACCTGTCGCGACCGTCTTTCGGGTGGGTCCGGAATTGGGCTTCGACTTAAATAAAATATTAGTAGTCGCCACCGATCATTTAAACAAAATATTTAGGTTGATCGGATACCATATTACCTGATCTGCATTTTACCAGAAATATGTAGGGCTCGGGAGTCGGTTACAGTCAAGGAAGGATTAGCACCCTTGAACTGTCCTTTCGGTACCATTTAATTTATCGGTTGTCATAATTGCAAAAATTAAAATTTAAAAATTCGATTCAAATTACTTACCTTTGATTGATTAAAATTATCCTAAAAAGATCATAAATAAAGTAAAAAACTAAAACAAACAAACACAAAGAGTTAGTATTAAAATCGAAATAAAAAAGAGTAAATAAAAAGAATAAAAGAAAATTCGAATTAAAAAAAATTAAATTGGAAAGGATTAAAATTCATGGATCAAATTAATTCTAGGAATAAGCTGCAAAAACAGATTAAATAAAAATAGAAATTTAAAGTATTAAAATAGCGAAACAAAAAAAAATTAAAAGACCAAACAATAATTAAGCCAAATGTAAAATAATGACTAAAATAAAGTATTCGAAAGCATAATGACCATAATATTAAAATATGGCTAGACTAGGGGGACTTAGGGGTGATTTGACCCTATATATAATGATTTAAATGTAACACATGGAAAAGAAAGGGATCTAAATAGGATTAAACTAAAATTAGTGACTAGAACACAAAAAGCTATGAAATAAGGAGGAGTTAACTTGTGGTTTTCCCAAAATTAAATAAAAGCAACTCCTTCCCTAAATTCTATTTTTCCCGTGGATCTCCAGAACCCCCATCTCTTCCTTATTTCTTTATTTTTGTTTTCATATCTGAAATTCGTTTAGTTGCCTTGATTTTATTGAGAAAAATGGGGAGAAAATCCCTTACAATTTAGTTCGAATCCTCCCACTTGACGACACTCCCTCGACAAAGGTAAGTTTTCGACTCTCTTTTTATTTTTTTATATTATTTTCTGCTATTAGTTGGGTCGATTAGGTTCAAAATAAATAAATAAAAACATTCAATTACTTTTTAATTTCAAATATGTGTGAATATATTAGTATTTATAACACCTAAAATGACATACTGTTTCGAAAATAATAATAAAAAACTATTGAAAATAAATAAATAAAAACTATTAAAAATTCAAAACAGAAAATCAATAAAAAATAATAATAAAAATAAAGAAGTTGTAATAAAAAAATAGAAAACAACCTTCAATCTAGTAGTTTATTGCTTCTGAAAAAAACGTCTGGAATCCCCCCTCCCTCAATGTACAACTTCATCCGGCTATTTATAGCCATTTACAGATTTAACATAATAAAATAATCATACACTTGTTGATTTAAATACAATATCATATGCAATTTTTTATTGTGAGTGGAGGGAGACAAGGACTAGTGGAGGCAGACAAGGACTAGTGGAGGCTTGGTGGCCAGGCTGGGTGAGGTATGGGCTGCTGGGATGAGGATAAAATATGGGGTCTACAGCTGCCCCTCTTTGCACATTCTTGTGTTAACAAGAATAGGGCAAAGACGAAAAAGATAACCAATTTTTGTCCGATACTTTTTTTGTTTTGAGACTTGATACATTTGTTGGGGAGTAACTGTAATTGGGCTTTAGCCTGAGCCTAGAATTGGGCCTTGGTCTTCTTCTTGGTTTGAAGATTTCGGCTTGAAAATTCTTCCAGAAGGTAGTTCCTTGTTGCTCCCATGCATTTGATATGCCTATGAGCCGAATGAAATCGAACTCGAAGGTCTTTGATGACATATAGCCCTTATCGCCTTGAGCTATGCTGTAAATTTGATATGCCATTGAGCTGAATGTAATCGAACTCGAGGGTTTGTTGACAGATAACCCTTCTCGCCTTGAGTTATGCTGTAAATAATGTGCCTTTGAGCTGAATGTAATCGAACTCGAAGGTCTTGGTTGACATACAACCCTTATCGTCTTGAGTTATGCTGTAACTGGGCTGAGGAATGAATCCCTTTTATTGTCGATGACTCATTTGTTGTGAAATCAAGTCAATCAGTTGAGCACGATATCATTTGTCGTGAAGTTGAAATCGTTGGTTGCATTGCTGCTGGTGGACACGATATTCTTCGCCGTGAAGTTGAAATCGTTGATGACCCCTTCATTGTGAAGTTGAGCATCTAATTGGATATCCTTCGTCGTGACGTTAAAATCCAATCAAAAGATGAATGTTGCTGGTGGACACGATATCCTTCGTCGTGAAGTTAAAATCGTGGATGTTTCGAGTCAAATATCTTTCGTCGTGAAGTTGAAATTGACTCTGAATGAATCTGGGAAGCCCATTCACTGTGAAGTTGAGCTTTGAATTGGATATCATTCGCTGTGAAGTTGAAATCCAATGTTGTTTGTGAGCACGATATCCTTCATCGTGAAGTTGAAATCATGGATGTTTCGAGTCCAATATCCTTCGTCGTGAAGTTGAAATTGGCTTTGAATGAAACTGGGAAGCCTGTTCGCTGTGGAGTTGAGCTTTCAATTGGATATCCTTCGTTGTAAAGTTGAAATCCAATCTTCAGTAAATGGTGTTGCTTCGAGTCCAATATCCTTCGTTGTGAAGTTGAAATTGACTCTAGCTAGAACCTGCAAAGTTATGCATATATGCGATGCTATGGATGCAATGCTATGGATGCAATGCTCTTAGGTATGCCTAAAATGCATATGCAACATATGTTATTTTGGGTTCTGGAGAGAAATCTCGATCTCCGATTGCCTGTCTTATATTGACTCTTGATTCTGGAATCTTGAAGTTCTAATTCCTGATCTTGAATTCTTCAAATATTTAAATCTGATATTTTTTATCCTTGATTTGGAAAATGCTTCTCGACCATCTCAATTATGTGCATGATCCTTGATCGACTTTCTGAGTACCTGTACTTTTCAAAGAGTCTTTGTACAATAATATGCAATTATCTTTTGCAAAAGTAAATAAATCATTAGGTTTAAATTCAACCCAAGATGCTCAAAATGAATTGATTTAGAGAAAAGATTGTCTTTATTCATAAGGGAAAAAGAACAAATGACAAACATTTTGGAAAATGAATATATGATGAAGTGTGAATGAATGTCTTAGATCTTGATAATGTGGGCACTGTTGAACTGATAAGCCGTTAAGTGACCTTGAATGCAACTTTTGCCGAGGGATCTTTAAAGATGCGGCAATGTTCAGGAAAGTGCAACCTTTCTTCGACTCGTTAATCCTGCCGGGATGTCTGGATTTCTTGAATTAATATCCAAATCGCCCTTTCGGGTTTTCAATTTGGACCCATCCTTGGTTGCAAGACGCCCTTTACAGGTTTTCATCTTGAACCCACCTTATTTTTTTCTTTTTCTCTTTTTTCTATCTAGTGCGCCCTTTCGGTTTTCACCCTAAACGTTTTTCTCTTTTTTGTGCTTTTCTTTTTCTTTTTCTTTTTCGAATTAGGATGCCATCTCGAGTTTTCATCCTAAGCGAAGTATTTTTTTGACTGCATCCGAATTGATAGGATGTGGCAGTTCTGGTCCGTCGATTTCAGCCAGGACAAGGGCTCCTCCGGAAAAGGCCTTTTTTACGACATAAGGTCCTTCCCAATTTGGCATCCATTTTCCTCTGTAATCTTTATGGATTGGCCAAATTCTCTTTAGCACCAGGTCTCATTCAAGAAATATTCTCGGTCGTACCTTCTTGTTATGTGCCCGAATCATTCATTTCTGATAGATTTGACCGTGCTGAATGGCTTTCAGTCTCTTTTCATCTTTCAGGTTCAGCTGATCGTATCGAGATTGTACCCATTCTGCATCATCCAGTTTGACCTCTGTCAAGACCCGGAGTGACGAAATTTCTACTTCAATGGGTAGTACTGCTTCCATTCCATAAGATAGTGAAAATAGAGTTGCCCCAGTCGAGGTTCGTACCGAGGTTCGGTAAGCGAACAAAGCAAAAGGCAATTTCTCGTGCCAGTATTTGTAGGTCTCAGTCATTTTCTCCACTATCTTTTTAATGTTTTTGTTTGTTGCTTCTACTGCTCCGTTCATCTTTGGTCTGTAGGTAGTAGAATTGTGATGCTTTATGTTGAATTGCTCACAGACAACTTTCATCATTTTGTTGTTCAAGTTTGTAGCATTATCGGTAATAATTCTTTCAGGTAAACCATACCGAC